GGGGGGGGGGGTGCCGACGTGATCTCATTATGGCGTCGTTCCTTTTAATATTCCTTGGGTATCATTTAGACAGATGACAAAAGCAGAGTGAAGCACTCTTGACCGGTTTGATCATGTCTGGAGCCTCGGGGTCAACGACTTGATGTGGATTGTACAGCTGTTGCGCAAGGAGAAATTAAATTTACAATTCGAGTGTTTCAGTACTAATACAGCTGGGGTGTTATAGGTCATGTACAGCTGGAGTGTTATAGGTCATGTACAGCTGTGGTGTTATAGGTCATGTACAGCTGGGGTGTTATAGGTCATGTACAGCTGGGGTGTTATAGGTCATGTACAGCTGGTAAGCTTCACATAAAAAGTAAACAATTGATTTGGTGATTGTGCATAATAATTCAAACAAGGAATAAAGGTGTGAATTTAATGTTACACATATATTTATATATACATACAAATATCTACACACAATACTGAATAAACAAACCCCTGAAATTACAGACCCATTATCCCACCGACCGTTGAATCCACCAAACCCTGAACCACTAGCCCATGAACCCACCGAACCCTGAATCAACCCCTGGATCCACCAAGCTCTGAATCAATCAACCCCTGGATCCACCAATCCCTGAATGAATCAACCCCTGGATCCACCAAGCTCTGAATCCACCAACCCCTGAATCAATCAACCCCTGGATCCACCAAGCTTTGAATCCACCAAACCCTGAACCCGATAAACCATGAATCAACCACATTTTTAGTCCACCACCCTCTAAACTGCCCACTAACCCTGAATTCACCCACCACTGAACTCACCAACTCCTACCCCCCCCAACCCCTGCACCCAACGCTCTCTGAACCCATCAACCATTAAAACCAGGCAGTACGTTTACTCCATTCCTCCACCCTCACCCACTTGTTTCTCCTGCAGGTTGTGAGTATGGCGACCAGAGACCGGAGATGTGTTTCAAGACTTCTCTTTGCCACACTAACGCCAAGTGGTGCTGCCAGACCTGCGGTATCAACTCCTCCCCCATCTCAGGAGGGCTGTCCGGTCTTAACAGTATCCTCGCAGTGGCAGTCGTATGCTCTCAGCGGCTATTGTGATTGCGTCCATAGTATAGTGCCACCCCCCCAAAAAAAAAACAACAAAACAAAAACAACAAAACAAACAAACAATCAAACAAACAAACAAAGCAAACAACAAAATGTCCCCTTTATTTTGTATATATCGCCATTCTATTTTAAAAAATAAATGGCACAGTGGTTAAAATTACTGCTTATTTATCATGACACTGATATTGTAAAGTGACACTGTTCTCAATCATTATAGAATAACACTGTTCTCAGTAATTGCAAAACTACAGTTCTCAATAATTGTAATAGGACACTATTCTAAATAATTGTACAAATACACTGTTCGAAATAATTGTAAAAGGACACTATTCTAAATAATTGTAAAAGTACACTATTCTAAATAATTGTAAAAATACACTGTTCAAAATAGTTGTAAAAGGACACTATTCTAAATAATTGTAAAAGGACACTATTCGAAATAATTGTAAAAATACACTGTTCGAAATAGTTGTAAAAGGACACTATTCTAAATAATTGTAAAAGGACACTATTCGAAATAATTGTAAAAAGACAATGTTCTCAATAATTGTAAAATGACACTGTTCTCAATAATTTTAAAAGGACACTATTCTAAATAATTGTAAAAGGACACTGTTCTAAATAATTGTAAAAAGACACTGTTCGAAATAATTGTAAAAATGACCACGTTTTCAATAATTGTAAAAAAAGCACTTTTCTCAATCATTGTCAAAAGAAACTTTTTCAGTAATTTTAAATGACTCTGTTTTAGTCATTGTAAAATGACACTGTTTTTAATTATTGTAAAATGACACTGCTCTCAATAATTGTAGAATAAAAACTTTTTTCAATAATTTTAAAAAGACACTGTTCACAGTCATTTTAAAATAACACTGTTCTCAGTCATTTTAAAATGACACGTCTCAATAATGTTTTAAAAAATACATTTTTTCTAAATAATTTATAAAAATGACCTTGTTCTCAATCGGAAAATGCTATTGGTGGCAATCATTGAACAAACAGATGGTAATAATATAGAAATGTCTAAGATGTGTAATAATATAGAAATGTGTAAGATGTGTAATAATATAGAAATGTCTAAGATGTGTAATAATATAGATATGTCTAAGATGTGTAATAATATAGAAATGTCTAAGATGTGTAATAATATAGAAATGTGTAAGATGTGTAATAATATAGAAATGTGTAAGATGTGTAATAATATAGAAATGTGTAAGATGTGTAATAATATAGAAATGTCTAAGATGTGTAATAATATAGAAATGTGTAAGATGTGTAATAATATAGAAATGTGTAAGATGTGTAATAATATAGAAATGTGTAAGATGTGTAATAATATAGAAATGTCTAAGATGTGTAATAATATAGAAATGTGTAAGATGTGTAATAATATAGAAATGTCTAGGATGTGAAATAATATAGAAATGTGTAAGATGTGTAAAAATATAGAAATGT